TTTAAGTTGGTGTTCCAGTCGCCTGTTGAAGAGGCACCGCAGTGTGTGTTCTTTCCCATGCGACAACTCACTGTGCTGGCTTAAACAGTGGCACTAAGATTCGTGGCGCTTTTTTTGTCCTGGAATCTACTGTCCTGGCTCCCTGCTCAGTCCCCTTTTTAAACAGACTAATGGGCGAGTTCCCGTGGCTCCAATCACCAGCCAAAAGGGCACCCGGACCGGTGTATTTTGTACGGAGAACCACTGCTCCGGGGCGCTGACAAAGCAGCTGCAAGGGGCAAAGCAGCGGCGCCAGCCGGCACAGCTGCGCTGGCCAAAACAGCCGCACTGGCGACCTGTGGTGCTCCTCCGCCTGGGAATTTCCTGGTCTGTGGGCAATAAAAATGCGGCGTCCACTCACCATCTGCGCTTTCACTGGGAGCTGCAATCCTGAGCTGTTCCTAAACGGCCATCTTGGATCCTCCCCCCGTATAGTTTTTTTATTTTTATTTATTTATTTATTTATTTTTTATTGCATTTTAGGTTTTGGAGGTATAGTTTTTTAACATGTGACTTCCCCAAAACAACTTTGGTATCACATTTGAAAAGGATTTTATTTTTTAAAAACTTTTTATTATGTCCTTCTTTTTCTATACCTAAATAGCACATCTCAGTAACTAAGAGTTTTTAGTACCTCTTAGTATAAGATTCATTTATAGTCCTTCAGCTAATTATAAACACGAATTATATTTTCAACTGATACTAATGGAAGAAAAGGTTTAGATATATGAAACATACTGGTATTCCCTCACCAAAGACACACATACGCATATACCCACTCATCCCTCGTCTCTCTACTTATCAAAGATGCCTAACTTAAAAACATACTTCTATAATACTTGTCTTCTCTGACTATTCTCTATTGGCTTATCAATCTTGTGATAATTTTTTTAAGTCTAATAAAATGTTTTGTGATGTAGTTTTTCCATTTTGGTCATTTAATCCTTTCTCATCACCTATATCCAATCTGATAATGAGCAGACCTTTGAATTAACAGGGAGAATGGGTGCTAAGAAAATGCTTTCAAGAGGGAAAACTTTGTAAACATTAACATCAACAGTCTTTTACAGCTTTTCCCAAAACATTAGAATAGATGCTGTGAAACATTTGTGAAGAGATTTTTCTGTTGTTTTTTGGCTCTGGTGCTTCACATTGGAAATACAGATTTGAGGAAATCAGTTAATCTCAGCTTCAGATTATTTTGTTTTAAAAATAAATATACATGTCCTATGGTTCTTAAACGTTTCTATGAGAATTAAATGAAATGTCATCTTTTTAAAATCATGTTGAAAACTAAAACCACTGTGTAAGTGAAAAGCAATATACTTACAGGAAAACTTAGTACAAAACACAATATCTCCTCAAATACTCTGGAACTTAGAGTCTTAGGCCGTTTATACTCTCTTCCCACCCTCAGTAACAAAAAAAGTCATGCTAATTAATTTAATTCATTTTTATCTTATTTTATCCCAGCTAACATTTTAACATTAAATTTATTTTGTTACATAGCAAAATAGTATTTTCATCTATTCCATGTGCTATATAATATTCCATGAGGGACTGTGATTTGCTTATTTTGGCATTTGACATAAGTAAATGCCTAATGTGTCAATCTTGTCTTAATATGATTTTTATTCTTGGATTCAGAGTCTATCTTTAAAAGTGTCACTTTGAATTTGAAAATGGACTTCATATAGTATGCACCTTTACAAAATCTGTTACAGCATTTTATACATCTGAAGAGTTTACAATCTTATTTAAAAATAATTTCAATAAAGACTATTATTAAGTTAATGTGGCTTAGACTATTTTTTGATACTTAATGTTAGTATACTTAATGTGTTTGTCCTTGAGCACTAAAAAGATTCCTTTCCTCTACCAAAATTCTTATTAAATGTAAATGAGAACAGAACATATACTAACATAATACAGTAACATAATAAAATATTTTATCCTATTTTAAAATTTAAACTTAAAATATAAGTGAGCTTTTATTTGTGATCACTACATTAAAGATTTCTTTTATTTAAAACTAGTATCACTGGAAAAATCTCTGTAGAAGTCAGTACTCTTAGGAGCAGAAAGAAATCAATTCTGCTTAAGTGGAAATTTATTGGAAGAATATTTAATATCTCACATAACTGTCAGAAAGATGGGAGAATCAGTTTTAGAAAATGAGCAGAAAACGAGAAGTCAGGGTAGGTCACACCACAGGAAGATTAGGTTGGGTTTTGCTGTATGTCACCAACACAGACTCTCAACTCCTCAACTTTAATTAATGGCTAACTCTCCCAAGAAAAGAGAAGGTCTAGAGTCCCTTGCTTTCTGTAACAAGAGGTAGAGCTCTTACTTTCAATAAAACGAAGGTGATTCCCCCCAAATAGGAAGAGTTTGAATGCTCACCAGCCAAGGAAAAAAGGCACATGTCTACTACAATCCACCCATTTGGCTGTCCAGCATGTATATATAACTTTCTTCCCATACTAACCCTTTTTAAAAGAAAAAATGTTACAGGCCGAGCGCAGTGGCTCACACCTATAAAATCCCAGCACTTTGGGAGGCCGAAGTGGGCGGATCATGAGGTCAGGAGTTCAAGACCAGGCTTGCCAGCATAGTGAAACCCCATCTCTACTAAAAATGCAGAAATTAGCAAGGCATGGTGGTACATGCCTATAGTCACAGCTACTCGGGAGGCTGAGGCAGGAAAATCACTGGAACCTGGAAGGCCGAGGTTGTCGTGAGCCGAGATCTTGCCACTGCACTCTGGCCTGGGCAACAGAGCGAGATTCCGCCTTAAAAAAAAAAAAAAAAGAAAGAAAGAAAGGTTCCAGCCTAACCTAATGCAAGCCTCCACTATACAGCCAAAAGGTGATCATCCTCTTCCACAAAGGGTGATGATCCTAAGTTGAAAACTAAAACCACTGTGTAAGTGAAAAACAATGTACTTACAGGAAAACTTAGTGGAGTTTTCCATACCTGGCTCCATTTCAAGGTCATGTTCATTTTTCATTAGTTTATCTTATCCCATATCAGTATTATACAATTTGTGGACTCAATTATAGTTAACCTATAAAAATAATAAAGGTAAGAGAGGAAAGAATGGGGAAATAATTAAAATATATACAGAGAAAAGAAGGAAATATGAGTAGGCGCTATACTTCTTGTATTTTTACAGCTGTTTTAATGCCAGAGTTGGCACTTAAGACTTTCCTTCTTCATGTTCTCATTCCTTCAGATAGCACCACAACTCTTTAAGGTCCCAAATCTTCATCATAAGGAATCCAAAAGCAACATGATTGTATCTGCATAGGGTTACTGTTAACTTTTTTAACAGAAAGCTTCTGTTAACTTTTGTTTTCTATGGGAAATTTCAAATATATACAAGATTGGAGAATAGTATAATGACCTGCGTATCAGTCATCCAGCTTCACCAACCATCATAACCAATATTGTTTCATCTCTACCTCCTACCCATCCACCTTCATAATTATTTTGAAGTAAATCTTGAACAATGTGTAGTTTCATCCATAATTATTTATATCTAAAAGACTTTATAAGGATAACTACAGTACCATTATCTTACATACACAAAAATTCTCTATATTAAATATCCAGTCTGTGTTCAAATTTCCCTCTTTGTCTCATAAATCTCTCTTAACAGACAGTTTGTTTGAGTTGAGCCAAGATTAATTAACAGCCAGTTTGTTTGAGTTGAGCCAAGATAAACCTCTCTTAACAGCCATTTGAACGAAGATTCAGTTAGGTAACACACTGCGTTGGCCACTGATTCAGAGCATACTACATCCTTCAGGACAGCATACCACCCTCACAAGGTGGTGTATTGTAGCTGACGTCATAACTGAGTCTTCAACATGTTGTGTTTTTATGGAAGATGGGTTACATAAGATGTGAATTTCATGGGCCTCTACCAGTTGCATTCTTTGGTCAGAGAGTAAGTTCCTTGATAAAAAGCAATATTGTGTGGAATACTATAGAGGTGTGTGAAGCATTCAACAATTCTAAGAATAGTAGTGCTAATAGAATGAGACTTGGGAAAAGCAAATCCAAAACCAAAACAGCCGTTTCTTCCAGTAAGACCAAATCACTGCCCCATCCAAAATGAAAGAAGTCCAGTATAGTTTGGCTGATCCTTTCAGGCTATATATAGTACAGAAACAGAGTATCTCCCACATTGTGACCCTTAGTAGGGGGCACACCTCTACATCACACTGTAGGAGCCTGAATCTAGAGATGCCTGGATGTTCTTTCTCACCTTCTTCTACACAGCTAAGACACAAGCATGTGATCTCAGTTTGACCATTCATATCATCCTACCTGAGACTACTACTTGTTCTTAATACAACACCAGTTTTGAAACTCACATACGTCAGTTATCTGTAAATTTTGATGGTTGTTTTGTAGATATCATCCTGATGTTCACAAATACAGTGTGGAAACTGTACAGTGGTATCCTCATGACACTGGCATGTTCACATCAAGCTCATTTGATAAAACTCTGAAAGTATGGGATACAAATACATTACAAGTAAGTACATTACAACATTTGCAAATTGCTTTGTAGGATGAAGGAGAATTTAATCCTAAACGATTTTAGTATGATTATTTGCTAAGATGTCATATATGTTAGATGTGAAAGCAGTATAGTGGTTAAGAAGAGCTAGACTGCTTGAGTTCATATCCTGGCTGTACTGCTAACCAGCTGTATGACAATGGGCGGATGTCCAAACCTCTGTGTCTGTCTCATGTGTAAATGGAAATGATTATAGAATGGTTGTAAGGATTAAATGAGCCAATATATGTAAAGTAGCTAGTACAATACATAGCATATAGTAAATGCTCAAAAACTATTAGCTATTATTAATATCCCTTTGTGAAAACTATGGTCTAGTAATCTAAAGTAGAAAATTGTATTTATCTTTGATTGATCTAAAAACTTGAAGGAAAAAGCTGTTAATACTGTAGCTTAGTAAAGGCAGGCAGTGGATAATAGTTTCTATGATATTTGGTCAAATTCACATTTCTAGTGCTAATCTTTTCTCTGAGCTCTACTCTGATATTTCTGTACTTTTCTACAGTACCTCTACACTTAAATGTAGTATCATTTCTTCAAACTTAACATGTTTCAAACTGAATGTGATCACACCTCTTTAAATTTAGTCATAAAATCTTAGCAATTCTTTCTTCAAACTTTCTCATACCTCTCTTTTCTATTTCCCTTGCCTTTGTTGCACATCTAGACTACTAAAATCTCTGCCTTGCTTTCCTTCTACATTTTCTACACTAAGTTCTACACCAGAATTAATCTTACCATAAAGCAGTTTCATCATGTTGCTACCCAAACCCTCTAGGGATTCCCATTGTCTAAACTCAGCTTGGCATTCGAAGCTATCCATGACTTCAGCCCTTGTTCCTTCAGTCCTACTTTCTACCTGTCTTCAACACAAATGCTTTGCTGCAACTAAATTGATCATATTTTGAAGCTGTCGTATTCCCTGCCGCAAGTCCCTTTGCCTTGCAACTTTTCCCTTCTCTTAAGGTCACATCTTTTTTTTCAGCTACTTTGAGCCAGGACTGAGGATGCCAGAGTCCTAGTTCCATTCTGCCACTTATGAGATTTGTTGCTGTAGATAAGTCATTTAAATTGTTAGCAAAGGTCTCTTCAGCTATAAAATTAAGGGATCAGACTAGATGTTGTCTAAGGTCCCTTTTAGTTCTATCATGCAATTTAGTGATTTTAGCTTCTGGAGTATATATTAACCGTTATTTTACTTTAACTTTATAGCACTATTTTCTGTATTCTTATTTTAACGTATTTTCATACTACCTTATAATATCATTTTTATACTTGTGTGTTTTATTTGTTGTTCTAGATTGTTACTTCCCCAAAGAAAGGCCTATGTCTTATACATTACTAAATTCAGTGTTATGTACAGTAACTGCTGAATAAATGCTTTAAGGATGACTAGCGATGTATGTAACTGGCCACATATTAATAAGTAATAAAATCACAAAGTATATTATGATTCTAATCAGCAAAACAAAACTGTGTTGTGTATATAAATGCAAATTTAATACACTTCTAATAATTCAAACTAAACGATGTGTCCTTTTGACCTTGCTACATTAGAATAGACCTACCATTTCAGATTTATTTGTATATTAAAGTATATTTATTTAAAATACATGTCATTGAAAATGGGAATATATTTTAACAATTAAATAAATGTCATGAGCTTTCACTTCTGACTATAATGGAGTATCTTATAGCCAAACCAGCACCTCCATTGAGAAAAGCTAGATAAAATATAAACAAACATCTAGTTGAGGGTTTTGGAAAGCTGCCAAGAAATCTAAGACTTGAGAATCAGATCCTAGAGAGAACACTTAGAGAAATGCATTCACTTTCCACACACTCTTTTTCTCTTTGGGCATTTAACATTAATGTAGAGCAAGAGACTGAGAAGACAGGCATTAGGTAGTTTCTAAGAGGCAGATAAATGAGTGGGACTTTAGTCAATTTCATAAAGCTGGAGAGATAGAAATTGAGCTGTGGAATGTGGGCTGCCAAGACAGCCAGAAATTAAAGGGTCAAGATCACAGAAAGAAGACAGATGCAGAGAAATAAGCCTAACATCTTGCATTGGTTTTTTCATTGAGCTATTTGCTGACCGAGCTCTGCAAGACCATAGACTAAGAAATGAAGCAGAAAACATCTGAAAAACAGCAATTTTCCCCAGTCACATGTTACTAGAGAGAAGAATTGCAGTGCAGTACTTGCTAAGTAGAAAGGAGCCTAGGGAAAAACCCAGCCTCTTAGAGCACCTAGAGGGATATTCTCTCAGAATGGGTACAAATAGGAGGTAGATAAAGCCCAATTTTTCCTATGTAATTTCTAGTACTCAAATTATTATTCTAAACACTTAAAAAGGCTGGGTGTGGTGGCTCATGCCTGTAATCCCAGCACTTTGGGAGGCTGAGGGCAGGCGGATCACCTTAACTTGGGAGTTCGAGACCAGCCTGACCAACATGGAGAAACCCCATCTTTACTAAAAATACGAAAAATTAGCCAGGCATGATGGCTCATGCCTGTAATCCCAACTACTCAGGAGGCTCACACAAGAGAATCGCTTGAACCCAGGAGGCTGTGGTGAGCCAAGATTGTGCCATTGCACTCCAGCCTGGGCAACAAGAGTGAAACTCCATTTCCAAAAAAAAAAAACACTTTAAAAAGAGATAATACCAATCTTATGCAAATGCTTCAAGAGGGAAAGAAGGGACATTTGTAAACTTTTTTTATGGGGCCAGCATATCCTTGATCATCATATCCTCAAAACTTACAAGGGCATTAAATGGAAAATATAGGGCAGTGTCTCTTAAATATAAATACAAAATTCCTAAATCAACTATTAATAAGTAGAATCTAGCAATATACAAAAAGAATAATATATCATGAGTAGACAGAAACAAAGTTGTTAACATCTAAAAATCAACTAGTGTAATTCATCATGTTAACAGAAAGAAGGGGAAAAACTACATATTAGTCATCTCAATACATATAAAATTTTTAAATAAAAGTCAATATCTTTTTTTTTTTTAGAGACAGAGTCTTGCTCTGTTGCCCAAGCTAGAGTGCAGTGGTGCAATCATAGCTAACTGTAACCTCAGACTTCCAGGGATCCATCCAGCTCAGCCTCCCAAGCAGTGAAGGCTACAGATGTGCACCACGGTCTCCAGCTAATTTTTTAACTTTTTGTAGAGACAATATCTCTCTGTGTTGCCCAGGCGGGTCTAAAAATCTGGCCTCAAGCTATCCTCCCGCATTGGCCTCCAAAAGTATTGGGATTACAAGCATGAGCCACTGTGCCTATCCTCCTTTTTTTTTTTTTTGAGACGGAGTCTTGGTCTGTCACCAGGCTGAAGTCTGCAGTGGCGCGATGTGGGATCACTGCAACCTCCGCCTCCCAGGTTCAAGCAAGCAGCTGGGACTACAGGTGCCTGCCACCATGCATGGCTAATTTTTTGTATTTTTGTAGGGACGGGGTTTCACCTTGTTGGCCAGGATGGTCTCAATCTCCTGACCTCATGATCCACCTGCCTTGGCCCCCTAAAGTGCTGGGATTACAGGCATAAGCCACTGCACCTTGCCCTGCATTTTTAAAAATTCTCTGTATACCAGGAATATAAGAGAAATTCCTTAATTTGATAAAAAGTATATTTTTTAAAAAAACTAAAGCAGCCATTATAGTTGGTGGTAAAATGTTGAAAGCTTTCCCTTTGCATTATCCCTATTGTTTCCTCTGTTTAACATTGTGCTAGATGTCCTAGTCAGAGCAATAAAGCAAACAAAGGAAACAAAAGACATAGGAAGTAGAGAGGAAGCATTTAAACTGTCATTTACAGAAGACGTGATTATGAACCTAGAAAATGCAATCTATAGCCAAATTATTAGAATTACTATAACTAAATTTAGCAAATTTGCTGGATACAAGGTAAAAAAATTTCTGAATTCCAGACACAATTATAAAATGAAATTTTAAAACTAATATTGTTTACCATAACATCAAAAATCATCATATACCTAGTAATAAATTTAATGAAAAATATACGAGACTATTCTGAATATACAGAGAACTTTAGAACATTCTTGAGAGAAATTAAGACCTAAATAAGTGTGAGGTATTCCATGTTCAAGAATTAGAAGGTCAATGTGGTAAAGATACCAGTTTTACCCAAAGTGATCTATAGAATCAATGCATTTCCTAACAGAATCTTAGAAGATTTCTTTTTTGAAAATTGACTAGCTAATTCTAATGTTCATATGGAAATGCAAAAGGGCAGGGTATTCTTGAGGAAGAGTGAAGTTGGAGGACTTCACCCTCAGATATCAAGACTTACTAGTTAAGGCAATGTGATATTGGTGTAAGTAAAAAAGAAAAACACCACACAGTGGAACAGGATAGAGAATCAATAAATGTATCTGTTCATGACAATTATTTGATTTATGATAATGCAGGTAACCCTTGAACAGTGTGGAGGTTAAGGAAGCTGACCCCCTATCACAGTTTAAAATCTATGTATAATTTCTGATTCCCCCAAGAGGCTATTACCACTAATAGCCTAGTATTAACTGGAAGCCTTCATGATTACATAACATCAATTAATATATACTTTGTATATGTATTATATACTGTATTTTTTTATTATTATTATTTTTATTTTTCCAGATAGAGTCTCGCTCTGTCACCCAGGCTGAAGTGCAGTGGCGCTACCTCGGCTAACTGCAAGCTTCGCCTCCTGGGTTCAAGCGATTCTCCTACCTCAGCCTCCCAAGTAGCTGGGACTACAGGTGCATACCACCACACCCAGCTAATTTTCTTATATTTTTAGTAGAGACGGGGTTTCGCCGTGTTGGCCAACCTGGTCTTGAACTCCTGACCTCAAGTGATCCACCTGCCTTGGCTCCAAAAGTGCTGAAATTGCAGGCGTAAGCCACCGCGCCCGGCCTATATGCTGTATTCTTAAAGT